AAAAAAAAAAAAACATTTTCCCTTCCTGTATCCAGCATATATATGCATCATGGAGCTTTACACACACTCCTCTCAGTTTATTATTTTTGATATTATTAAACTGATTTCAGCAGTTTTGTGAAACAGAATAAAATATTTCAGACTCGGACAACCAACTAATGCCACAAAACATTCAATAATTTATCAAATCCATTGCTAATACTCACTAGTGTTTGTCCTGCTGAATTCCCTCCAAAATTATGTCACTTCCTGTTGAATGAAGTCACATTGAAACTGCCTTTTCCTTTTTTAAAGGCATAATATATGATGAAAGGGATATTGAGGACATGTGACATACCTAAAATATCACTATCAATTAAAACAATATTTAAAAGAAAAGATTTTTTTTTTTAAAACAACAACAACAAAAAACATTTAACTAGAGAAAGAAAAAAATTAAAAAAGCATCCAAGGATATCACAAAAATAATTCAAACCAAAGTAGCAAAATTATTTAAAATTCACTTTTAAAATTTTAAGTTAATTGTGAAAACTATCTAATGTAATTTTTAACTTAAAAATATATATATATATTTTACCCAGTTATTGAGACATGTGACTGCACAGAATGACCATGAATGGTTTTTAGAGTGTTGCTGTGTTGTTGCAGACTATCTCAAGTCAACTGTGTACACAGTAGTAATGTATATACTGTAGTTTATATGCATGCTTTATTGTGTCCCAAGTGTTTCCCCAGCAGAAGGGAAATTATGTGTGTGCTTTTGCACTGATAATAGTCAAACCCTGATCTGAACTTAAATTGGCCAGTAAAACGATTCTGATATTTTTCAAAGAGCTGAGCCCGAACTGAAATCCTTGCCACACAGAGCTCTGAAGGACCCTGGGGTCACATGGGCTCTAATATTTCAGATGCCTTGAGATATATTTAAAATAGGTCACTTTTGATGACCAGATATATCGTCTATGATGCTGGGATCAAAGTACACCCAGAAGCTCAGGCCAAATGTATTACCACAGCAATTGTGCTCTGATATCAGTCCAAACATACGGAGGCCTTTAATGAAGAGAATCGTCTCTGATACGGGATCTATTTCTCTCATATCTACGGGAAGTATCTCTCATATACAGAAGAACACAAGACTGCGGAGATCTCAGTGCATTTGAATTGATCCAAAATGTCAAGTGTTTATATAATCTCATACTGACTCTTTTCCTTTTTCCTCCCACAAGCAATTTCTCTCTGTCTCTCATCGCCCATGTAGTCAGTCCTTTACTAGCAGCTCCATGTTCCTTCCAAAATAAGCTACCACTACCAAAACAAGACAACAACACCACTGCAGTTTGTGTTTCTCTTCCATTATGCTCAGCACACACTGCACAGCTTTGGCATGGTTTTGTCTTCTAAGACATATTTCAAGGAATCACAAAATTGGCGGTCTTTTTTGCCAAGTGGACATCTTTTTGGCATTATTCACTCAAACCACAACACAAAATGTTCAACTCAAATGCAATCGGCCTCTTTGTTGCAGCTGTTTTTTTATGTACCTGCTTTAAATGCAAAATTCTCTTCTAGGGTACCTGGCCTATCATTGGAAATGCCTAGAACTGTATCTGATCATCAGTAAAATGCACAATGTCCACGTACACTATGTTACATGTACACTATCGTTCAAAAAATTAAGGTGTTAAGATTTGAAGCTCACAAAGGCTGAAATTATTTGATAAAAAATACAGCAAAATCAGTAATATTGTGACATATTATTACAATAAAAAAAAGTTATCTATTTTTATCTATTTTAAAGTGTAATTTATTCCTGTGATGGTATGTTAATTTGGTGCTCAAGAATAATTTCTTATTATGCTGAAAACAGCTTTTTTTTTTTTAAATCTGTGATACTTTTTTTTCCAGGATTCTTTGATGAATAGAAAGTTCAAAAGAACAGCATTTATATGAAATAGATTTTTTTTGTAACAATCTAAAAGTTTTACTGTCACTTTGATCAGTTTAATGTGTCCTTGCTAAATAAAAAGTAATTGCATAAAAAAAAAATGTTACTGACCCCAAACTTTTGAACAGTAGTGTATACTTGTGAAATGTATAATAATAAATACTATTAATTACATATATATTATATAATAATATTAAATAATAATAAATATTAGATATGATATTAAATAATACGCATAAGTTATTATTTTAAAATAAAACATAAAAAATACAACCTTTAAATTCATTAAAAAATGTGTTGGAATCAGTGAAAACATTGGCAGGGCAAGAAGAAATCCGCACTGAATCCTTACTGTTGAGCCTTTGTGCAGAATGAAATACTGCCAGACATCAGAGCTGATGCAAACATCTTTTTTTAGTCAAACTGGAGGAGGCCTGCAATAAAATATTCACTGAAACAGAATTACCATCACCTGAATAACATACAGGTAAATGTGTCTGTCTCTTTTGCTTTTTGTATCACTGCCTCAACTGATACACTTGTTCCTGTTTTACGTAAGTGGCCCAGAGGGCCCCTTTGGCTGTTTTGCTTCATCACAGTCTGCTAGAGCGAGAAACTAAAAACAAACTAATTATTTAAACACATAAACAGACCGAGCAAAATATCCATTTAACTGCTCCCTGTTACGGCAACTACACTTCCCAGCAGGCCTCTGCCTCGATGCACTTTCCTGAGTCAACACATGGATGCTGAACAAACTCTTTAACCCACGGAATGGGCAGAGGAAAGGGAGGGAGAGAAAGAGAAGGGAAATGAAGAGAAAAAAAGGATGGAAGGAGGAAACAGACAGTAAACTCACACATAGTAGCCAACACCTGTCACATCAACAAACAGACAGTGTTGTCAAACGCTTAGTTGAGCACTACAGAGGCGAGTGGCTCCTTTATAAACACATGACGAGGTGTAGCATCGCCTGCACGCAGATACTGTATGTGATAAACGGCCCCAGTGTGCCTCCAACACAAAAACACCATCTGTGGCTCCACACACACACACAAACACATACACACATTTTCAGTCAAGAAAGCAACAGGTAACTGTCTATCGAGCTTGCAGCATGATGTCAGGGAAGTTTGACACTGAACTGAACATCTGTAAATTCACTTTTAAGTCACGTTAGATCATTTATACTAACCTTTTATTCAACTGAGCAAGTTAGCATAGGTAGCCCCTGCTGGTAGATGTTGTAATTTCACCATGTATCTTTCCCTATTGAGGTCCATTTAAAAGTAGCGGTGAATTCTGACAAAATACATCTTTTGCAACATTTAAATAGCAAATAATTCATTGGTAGATGTTTAACCAATACCCATTTCCTTTTTGGAAAGCTCTTAAAAGTGTGAAATGTACCGTATTGACCCGAATATAAAACAATGTTTTTTTCTTGGAAATACATCTGAAAAAACGCGGTCATCTTATATTCAGGGTCTAGACTTTGACATGTCAATAATACACCCACAACAATAGGTGGCGCCAAATACGCATAAAACGAGTGTGCCATGAAATACGTAATGTAATGCGTGTTGTAAAGATCGCGAGTAAAAACAAAAGAAAAAGAAAACCTTACAGCTGCATGAGTCGTGACTGTCACGTTAGCCTGATGGGACCAAACTCCCTTTGTGATTTTAAAACGTAAGACAGTACCCAGATTTGAAGACTACAGTAAGATTTAACTTCTACTGTTAATAAGATTTTGGTAGGCTACTATTAGATGGATAGCCTAAATGTCCTAATTCAGATGGGCTACCTGTTTTGTTTTTTTTAATGGTATATCAAAAAGTGAATATTTTTTAAATGTGATTGTTGGTACATTTTAACAGTTTTTACCATACTTTCAAAACAAAAATTAAAATAGGAAAAATATGCAATATGAAAATAATTGAAGACAAAATGTGTTTTACTGAGAAAAAACAAGATTTGGTTTTGCTTTTTCCAAAAGGTACATCTGGAAAAAGGGGGGTCGTTTTATAATCAGGGTCGTCTTATATTCGGGCCAATACGGTACTTATAATGTTACCTGTCTGCTGCATTTGACGTCACAGCTCGGGATAATCACTAGTGAAGGGTTTGGGATTGTGGGTGTTCATTTTTTCTTCCGATTTATGATTTTGCAGACGAAAATCCATTAGAAAAGTAATAGCACATTTCTCATCTATATTCTGAAGGATTTTGGGTATCATTCATATCTGGAATGATAGCAAGGACCATTACGACTCATTTTTTGTATGTACCATATACTGTATATTACACATTAAAAGATACACTACCATTAATTTTTTTTATTAATTAATAAAAAAAAAATTTATTATATGTTTATTCAGCAAGAATTCATTAAATTGCTCAAAATCGTAAAAAAAAAAAAAAAAAGAAATTGTTGCAAAATTTTCCAACTCTGATAATAATAAGAAATGTTTCTTAAGCAGTAAATCAGCATTTTAGGATGATTTCTGATGGATCATGTGACACTGAAGACTGGAGTAATGATGCTGAAAATTCAGCTTTTCATCACAGGAATAAATTACATTTTAAAATATATTAAAATAGAAAACAGTTGTTTTAAATTGTCATAATATTTCACAATATTACTGTTTTTATTGTACTTTTGGTCAAATAAATGCAGCCTTGGTGAGCATAAGACTTTTTTCAAAAACATTAAAAAAATCTTACCAACCCCAAACTTTTGAACTGTAGTGTACATTTCATTTAATTTCATCTGACATTGACATTTCTATCTCAGTCTCTATGAACCCCAAGAGCTTTGTGAACCTCAGATGGGAAATCCTGAATTACACCATGGAAAATTAAATGAACCTTATAACAAGCCACCTGCCAAACTTCGATCAATAGCAGACCAGACTGCTCACAGGAAGCGGCATGCTTCAGATTCATCATGAGGAGAGGAGGCCAGAGATACTTACCATTTGGACTTTCCTCATCAATGGTGACGATAGTGGCAGGTGGACCCGACCGTGACAACTTACACTCTGTGTCAGAAACATAAAGAGAGACAAATACAGTCAGAATCAAATCTGCCACCACCTTCATCACAACACATCACTCATATCTGACTCCCGTGAGATTACATCTACTTGATGAATACAGGAGTGTGATTTTACTGGGTGAATACGTGGAGTCATAGAAAGAGAAGTGAGAAGCATCTCATGATGTGGTAGAGGACAGAAAGCGGTCTTACCCTCATAGTGCCAGTCTGAGGGACGTTAGTGTCAGCAGCAGTGAGAAGAGAAAAGAAGAGGAGAGAAGGAAAGATACATATGAGAAGAAAGACAGCCAGAGAGAGGAACAGAACAGGGCAGTGCACCATTCAGAATTCAACTGAGAATGCCTTTTAAATTCCAATCCAATTGTTGAATTTGAGCAAACAGAGTTCAGAAATAAGCAAGCAGAATTAAAATGAAATGAAATTCAAAGACATTCAATTATGCATTTCCTCAATTTTAAAGTGCCCTTATTATGCCATTTCTATGGTTCCTAATATTGTTTTGAGAGTCTCCTACAATAGGTTTACATCCATGCAAGGTCAAAAAACACTTTCGTTTTCTCAGAATATGCATTTAATATCACCTCATTTTCCAACGATTCTCAAACAATTTGTGCGAAGCAGCTCTAAGATTCAGTCTCTCTAAACCCCTCCTTTCCGTGAGCCTACTCTGCTCTGATTGGTCAGATGGCCCA